AACCCAAATAAGAATACCCAAAGACATACTATAATCAAACTTTCAAAGGTCAAAGACAAAGAGAGGATCTTGAAAGCAGTGAGATAAAATAAGTAAATAACACATAAGGGAGACCCAATACGCCTGGCAGCAGACTGTTCAGCAAAAACCTTATACGACAGAAGTGAGGTGAGGTCGTGATATATTCAGGGAAAGAAAGAAAAAATGCCAATCAAGCATACTGTACCTGGAGAAACTGACAACTAGACTGAGAGATATTAGCAAGATAGCTGACTAGAGACACCTGGCACTTATCCCCCTCCAAAAGAAAAAAAAAAAAAAGGCAATAAACAAACAGCTAAGATCTGACTAGGGTGTGGAAAGAAGAGCACTGCAACACAGCAGAGGAACTGAAGATGCACCTGTGGTGACTGGAAGTCCAGGAGAGCAGCATGGAGGTACCTGGACTCTGTAGTCCCACCTCCCCCGCCTGGGTCAAATCTGCCCAGAGTCAGAAGGGACTTCCCCTTGCAAGGAAAAGGTAAGCAAAAGATTCCCAATCACCCACATCACCACCACAAACACCTGAAGTCTTTACAACAGGAGAATCCCACAGTCCCTGCAAGCCCTGAGCCCAGTTTGGGAGCTGCTGGAAATTCAGGCTGCTGCATTACCCCAGATTAGGAGCACGAAGTGTGCACTCCTCACTCCCCACCCACCCTGTGAGCCAAGGCTGCTGTAGCACAGCACCATCTTGAGATCAGAGCTGCCTCTGGAGCATGCCCTGCTCTGGGGGCCAGAAGTCACTGCCATTCTCCAGCCCTGGGGCTCCATCTTTACTATACCAAGCCTACATGAGTGGCTGAATGTCACAACCCCAGTTGCATGGAGCCTGGGACCAAGATCAGCTTGAGTCTGGACCTGCACAACAGAGAAACCAACCCTCGCCACTGCACTTCCAGCCAGAGAAACAGCCTAGCAGTCCTGCCCAGGACAAACCTGCCCTTGATTTAGCCAAACCATTACACACCCTCCCCAAAGCAGGAGAGGCTCCTGAGCCTCCTAACAGCTGATTCACCCCTGGGCCAGCAGAGTTGCTAAACACCTGTGCTCAGGACCTGGGAAACACCCCTATGGCACCCCTGCCACAAGAAGAAATACTTCTAGGCTGCCCAATGTCCCCAAGTCTCCAAAAAGGCCTGAGAAACAGTCTCACAGGCTGACCATGGTCAGCATGCTCCCAGGCCCAACAAGCAGCTATGTGCCCATGTCTCAGACTCACGAAAAAGACCCACGGGTTGCCTTTGGTGGCATACCACCAGGTGAGCTGAGCAGCTCAAAGGACCAAAGATAAATCCTAGAGTTAAAGAATTCAATGAATAAAATTTAAAAACATAATTGAGAGGTTTAACAACTAGATTAAGCAACTAGGCTTGATCAAGCTGAAGAAAGAATTTCTGAACTTGAAGACAGGACTTTTGAAATAATACCAGCAGACAAAAAAAGAATAAAGAACAAAAAAGAATAAAGCCTATGTGAGTTAGGAGATATCATTAAGCAAATAAACATTCATAATATGGGCATTCTAGCAGAAGAAGATAAGGGAGAAGGTGAGGAAAACTATTTAATAAATCATAGCAGAGAATGCCTCAAGTGTTGGGAAAGAGATGGAAATCCAGGTCCAGAAAGGTCGAATAACCAAATAGTTTCAATCCAAATAGGTCCTCTCGGCCGGGCGCGGTGGCTCAAGCCTGTAATCCTACCACTTTGGGAGGCTGAGACGGGTGGATCACGAGGTCAGGAGATCGAGACCATCCTGGCTAACACGGTGAAACCCCATCTCTACTAAAAAAAAAAAATACAAAAAACTAGCCGGACGAGGTGGCGGGCGCCTATAGTCCCAGCTACTCGGGAGGAGGCTGAGGCAGGAGAATGGCGTAAACCCGGAAGGCGGAGCTTGCAGTGAGCTGAGATCCGGCCACTGCACTCCAGCCTGGGCGACAGAGCGAGACTCCGTCTCAAAAAACAAAAAAAACAAAAAAAACAAAAAAAACAAAAAAAAAACACCAAATAGGTCCTCTCAGAGGTACATTATAGTCAAACTGTCAAAATCCATAGACAAAGAAAAAATTAAAGCAGCAAGAGTAAAGCATCAAGTCACATATAAGGGAATCTCTATTTTACTAACAGAATTATTTTTCAGCAGAAACCTTACATTTCAGGAGAGAATTGGATGCTACATTCAAAGTACTGAAAACAGATAAATTTCCAGCCAAGAATATTATACCCAGCAAAGCTATTTTTCAGAAATGAAGGACAAATTAAATCTTCAGAGACAAACAAAACTCAAAGAATTCATCACCACTAAACTGGTCTTACAAGAAATGCTCACGGGGGTCTTATATCTGGAAGTAGTATGATGATATCCACCATCATGAAAACCTGGAAAACTATAAAACTCCCTGGTAGACCCAATACACAAAGGAGAAAAACAAAGGAATCAAATCTACAGAAAACCACCCAACTGAAAAAATAAACAGTAAGAAGTAAGGAACAAAAGATATACAACTAGAAAACAATCAATAAAATGACAGGAATTAGTCCTTACCTATCAATAACCCTGAATGTAAATAAATAACATTCCCTACTAAAAGGATATAGACTGGCTGAATAAAAAGAAAAATATGACCCAACTATATGTGGACTACAAGAAACTCATCTCACCAATAAAGACATACATAGTATTAAAGTGAAGGGATGGAAAAATATATTTCATGCAAATGGAAACCAAAAGCAAGCAGGAGTAGCTATACTTACATCAGATAAAACAGACATCAAGTTAAAAGCTGTACAAAGAGACAAGTAATTACATTATATGATAATGCACTCCCGTATTTATTGCAGCACTATCACAACGGCCAAGATATGGAATCAACCTAAGTGTCCAGCCACAGATAAATGGATAAAGAAATACGGTACATACACACAATGGAATACTATTCTGCCATAAAAAAGACTGAAATCCTGTCATTTGCAGCAACATGGATGGAACTGGAGGTCATTATGTTAAATTAAATAAGCCAGGCACATAAAGACAAATATCACATGTTCTCACTCATATGTGGAAACTTAAAAAGTGGATCTCGTGGAAGCGGGGTGTAGAATGGTGGTTAAAAGAGGCTGGAAAGGGAAGTGGAGAGAATGAAAATAAGTGGGAGAAGGAATAAAAAAAATACAGTTAGATAATAAGTTCTGGTATTCAATAGTACAGGAGGAAAATTAGAGTTCATATTAACTTATTATATAATTCAAAATAGCCAGAAGAAAAAAACTATAATGTTACCAACACAATAAAAAGATAAATGTTTGAGGTGATGGCCATCCCAATTATCCTGATTTGATCATAACACATTGTATACTTGTATCAAAATATTACATATAGTGCCAAAATACGTACAACTATTACATGTCAATAAAAAATTAAATTGCCATATGATTCAATTTACATAAAACTCTAGAAAATGCAAACTAATCTAAAGGGACAACAGAAAGCCTATATTTATAATATAAAGAACTCCTTCAAATCAATAGAAAAAAGACAGATAATCCAATAGAAAAAAATGGCAGGAGATTTGAAAACATATATCACAAAAAAGAATATCTAAATGGCCAATAAATGTGTAAAAATGTGCTAAACATCATTAATAATCACGGAATTACTAATCATAATTAGGTACCACTATGCCCTTTTTGAAAGGCTAAAATAAAAATAAACAAGTTTAGGTGAAGATATGGTTCAACTGAAAGTCATACACCATTAGAAGAACTACAGATTGGTACAACCAATTTGGAAATCTGCTTGGCATTATCTACTGAATACAGACATCCCTCACTATTATGAGGGATTGATGCCAGGAATCCCACATAAACCAAAATCTGTGTATACCCACATCCCACAGTTGGCTGTGTGGACTCCACATATATGAAAAGGCGCCCCTCCAAATATACAGTTTTCATATCCTGAAAATTCTATAGTTTTGACCCACATGGGGTTGAAGAAAATCCGTGTATAAGTAAACTAGCACAGTTCAAACTCACATTGTTCAAGAGTCAACTGCTTATGTATCCTTTATAATTCAGCAATTATATGTGTCTGCACCAAAAGACATATGAAAGAATCTAGCAGCCAAAAAAACTGAAATACAACAAATGTCTACCAACACAAGCACGGATAAAGTGTGGTCTATTTACATAAGTAGAATGTAATTCTACTTACTATTCTACAACAAAAATGGATAAAGTGTAGTCTTTACATTAGTAGAATGCAATTCTACTTATTACTCTATAATAAAAATGTATTTTTAGTTTAGCCTTTCAAAAAGGGCATAGTGGTACCTAATAAATCCTAATACTCTGTAGCAATGAAAACGAACAACATGAATGAATCTCATAAAATAACGCTGATTAATCAAAGAAACTAGCACAAAAAAATACATAATGTATAATCACATTTATATAAAGTTCATCATAAGCAAAACTAACCTATGGTATTAGAAGTCAAGATAGTGTTGCCTTTTGGGCAGGAGAGAAGTGGGCATGGATGGAGACAAGGTATGACCTAGGGGTGGTTACCTGGGCATATTCATTTAGTTATAGTCATCACAACGTGTACTTATTATGTGGAACTTTTTTTTTTCCTAAGTAGTTTATACTTCACTGAAAAAGTGAGGTCAATCTAAATATTCGAATGTAGGAGACTTGATTATGTTAAGATGAATCTTTTCTTGATCAGCTTCTAATTGAAGAAACTTTTTAATTCCAGATCACTTGTGTTCTAAATATAAAAATATTGTAAAATAAAAATACATTTAAAAATAAAATAATACAATGTTTTTATCGATATTTTTCTCTCATAGTTGGTAGCTGAATCCACAGAGGGTAATGCTGTCCAAAGAGCATCAAAGACATGGAGAGACAAGGGCAAGGCCTTCACAACACTGGACTTATAACTTGTTCAATACCTGATGAGAAGGACTCTTCGTGTTCCATATACAAAGTTCAGTCCCATCCAAAGGGAAAGCACAGTCCTGCATGCTACAAGCAAGCTGAACATGAGACACAGACTCCTTGGATTCAACCAGGTATTTTTCTATAACTGTCTCACTTAGACAGCCACCATTACTTGAGAAAATGTCCTGGGGATTTTCCATCTTCAATCTGAAAACAAAAGGTACATATAAGATGACTACAGGTATTATACTTAATATAGGAAAAAAGTCTATTACCTATTGATAGTTACTAGTTTGACCACACACACATACCACATCATACCTATTTATTCACCTCTCCTCACCCCAAGAAAAAACAAGAGAAATCGCTGAAAACTCTGGAGGTTCCACATTCACAACTGCTCCATTCCTCTCATGGGCTTTCCAATTAAGCAAACCTTGACTCAAATTCCACTATTCCCACTTAACAGACCTTGCTTAGGCTTTCTCAATCAGCTTCCACAACTGTAAAATGAGAACAGTTACTGAGAGGCAAAGACTAAACAATGATCCATATGGCATCGGGGCAGCGCTGGCACTTAGCATTCTAAACGTTGGTTACCGAAATGACTAAGACACAAAGTTATTTTCTGAATTGACCACAGCAAATCAGTTGTTAGGGAACTGCAATTGGAACCCACATTTCCCATAGCTAACCTGGGCTTTACTGAACAATTTCACAACACCCTATGTAATTACAGTTAAGCTACCACAGGTTCTATAATCAGTGACTCACTGGCTATGTTTCATAGAGCATGAACCAATGAAACACTGACAATAAAACATTTCAGATCTTCACCCAACTTTACACTTAACTTCACAGCATAATCACTTCAGAAACATGCGGGAATGGCTCTGGGGTCATCCTTGATTCTGTTGTATCCCACACCCCACTGCAGGCCAGCAATCGATACACTTAAAGGCACAGACAACAGACCTGCTTAGAAAGTGATGGGCAAGCACCCAAACATCCAGCGGGGTCATGCAGGCTGTGGGTACTCAAAGGCCCACCCGTGCAGACCTCATGCTAGCCATGTGGATTCGAAAAATCCACCCATACAGTCCTCAAGGGGGTCATGTGGATTTGAAGGCCCAGCCATGTGGTCCTCATACTGGCCAGGTGGATTCAAAGGCCCAGTCATACAGTCCTCATACTGGTCATGTGGATTTGAAAAATCCACCCCTGTGCTCCTCATGCTGGCCCTGAGGGATTCTGCTAACCTAACCTCTGCCTCTCTTCCTCTTCACCGCCTCCTCCCTCCACTGCTACTCTTTCTATTTACCCTTTCCTCCAGCTCTTACAACACAGCAGGGCTTTGATTGCCTCAGGACGCACACTTTATCTTCATGCTACATTCCTCCTCCTCTCTGCACCTTGGGGGCTCTTCCCCTTTCCCAGGTCTCAGGAGAGGCCTCTGAGAGCTGGCTCCCATCCCTGCCCCCCATCCCATCCACCTCCTTCCCAGCACTTCACACCATCTAAACTATTTTGACCTCAGGAGGCAGCGGGACATGGATCCATGGCTGGACTGCTAGGATGGAATCCTCTGTCTGAAGGACCCTTGGTCAGACAGGAATTGCAAAGAAAGAAAGAGAACTGTGGGGTGCCACTCATCAGCAGAACCTTCCCCTGCCTGCCTCCCGGCCCCGTGATTGAGAAATCTGACATTCCAGTACAGACTGTGAACCCTCAGCACCACCTCTGTGCTGTGGGCGGGGCAGCAATAACAATTTCCTGTGTGCAGGTGGGGAGCAGAATTTCACAAGAGAAATGAGGCAAAGGAAAATGGACTTCAGATCATCTTTGGAAAACACTTCAAAAGAAGCCAGCAAACATTTTCAATACAGGTCTCGATTAGAAACCCTTGTTTTAATATTCATAAGGCCAAGGTACCAGGAAGCTGATAATGTAATTGATCAATGTTCTCAAAATATAATTAGAGGCCTTATACTCTATGATTGCCCTTACAGCAAATGTGCTGTGTTATAATAAATAAAAGGGGATTTTTGGCCGGGTGCAGTGGCTCACGCCTGTAATCCCAGCACCTTGGGAGGCCGAGGCAGGCGGATCACGAGGTCAGGAGATCAAGACCATCCCAGCTAACACGGTGAAACCCCGTCTCTACTAAAAATACAAAAAATTAGCCGGGTGTGGTGATGGGCACCTGTGGTCCCAGCTTCTTGGGAGGCTGAGGCAGGAGAATGGCGTGAACCCGGGAGGCAGAGCTTGCAATGAGCTGAGATCACGCCACTGCACTCCAGGCTGGGCAACAGAGTGAGACTCCGTCTCAAAAAAATAATAAATAAAATAAAATAAAATAAAAATAAAATAAATAAAAGGTGATTTTTAAAGGCTTGAAAAGTCTCAATATTTGGAGAAAAACAAAATAAAAGCATGTGTACATTATTTTAAGGCACATTTGTCTCCAATTCACAATTTTTATCTCACTTTTTAAAAATATTTGCAAAGATACTTTGAGTGTCATATGAAAATAGCTACACCTTCCAAAGCTACCATGGTTACTCTGTAGACTCTGTAACTTGAGCATGGCAGTAGGTGCTGGGGAGATGTGTCCTGAGGGGACAATATGAAGCTGCTATCACCAGATCCACTGCTTCCCAAACCATAAAACATCTTGGGAGACAGACAAAGAATACACAAAACATTATAGTTGTTTCAAAAATGTTAATAATACACTCTTCAAATTATGACTCAGTTTCACCTTTTTCTTCAACGTAAACTTTTGTTGCAGTATCATTTCTTATTCTCTTCTGTAATTCCCATAGAATTCAGCAGCACATTTTACAAATAATAGTATTTGCATGCCAATTTGCAATTTACAGACCACTTTTGTAGCCATTAATAAGCAGGTCTGTATATATGAGTACATAGATTATATCATTCTTACAATAACCCTTTAAAGCGGTTAGGCAAGAAGATGGCAGACAGGAGGCAGGGATAATGTGCATCTCCCACTAGGATGGACTGAAAAGCATGTGGAGACTCATACTGTGAAGTTCTGTTCCAAGAACCACTGCAGAAATGTACCAAAAAAACTGAAAGAATTCACAGATCTTTTGAAAGAAGCAGCAGGCCACTGCAAATTCCATGAGACAGGCAAAAAACTGTGAGTTCCCAAAACGTGAGGGGAAAAAAACTGCCTCCAAACACACATCCCCACTGGGGAATCTAAAAATCCATATCACAGGAGAAGGATGTAACCTTACCTAGAGCTGAAGCATATTTAGGCAGCCAAGTGAAATATAAAGTAGAAGTAGCAGTGAGAAGAGCCTTGTAGGCATTCCCAGTCTCCAGCTCGAGTCCAGGGAAGCCATCCCTGACTGTTTCTCACAGAGGTCCTCCCTCAGAAAAGACAGCCAGCGGAATTAGGGAGAGGTCAAAGGGTGAAAGAAGCTTCCAACTGAATTCTGTGATAATTTAGACTGGGCACGAACTTCCTTGAGCAGAATCAGGAGTGGGTAAAAGGGAACTGCTACAGATATGAGCACAGGAGCTGCCAACATTGTGGGCAGATGGGGAGGGCAAGACCTGAAAGCCAGCCATGCTTGCTTTCTCAGCGCGGAAGCTTATGGCCTGGGCTGGGACTGAGTCCCACACACAGGCTGTCTGCATCTAAACCTGGCGCTGTTAGCTGGGCACTGTGGGAGCAAGACCAGCCTCACAAACTGCGTGGGAGCTGGGTGAGGTCTTCCACTACCAGCTTTCCCCCACTTCCCTGGCAACCTATGTGATACAGCAGACACAGCCATAATCCCTTCTGGAACATATCTCCATTGACTCAAGAACCACTCCCACATCTCCCACAGCAGCTGCAGCAAGCCCTGCCCAGGGAGAGTCTGAGCCCAGACCCCCTTAACCCTGTCCCCACCTGATGGTTTTTCTCTACCCACCTGGTAGCCAAACACAAAAGACATAAACTCTTGGGAACACTATGGCCCTGCCCATCACCTGAGAAACCAGGATGCCTCCCCTGGACCAACTTAGGGAAAGCGTATACACCCCTTCTAACATAGCAACTGATACTCTCTCAAAGAACTCCTGAGAAATTCATCACAAAGGATCATGATCCAGGTATCGTCATCTGGTTATTTAAAGTCAGGAAGAATGAAAGAATCTTTAGAGCTGTGAGACAAAAGCATCAGGTAACCTATAAAGGAAAACCTATCAGATTAACAGCTGACTTCTCAGCAGAAAATTTACAAGCCAGAAGGGATTGGGGTCATATCTTTAGCCCCCTTGAACAAAATGATTGTCAGCTAAGAATTCTGTATCCAGCAAAACTAAGCTTCACAAACGAAGGAAAGATAAAGTATTTTTTAGACAAACAAATACTGAGAGAATCTGCCACTACCAAGCTAGGACTACAAGAAGTGGTAAAAGAAGTTCTAAATCTTGAAACAAAACCTTGAAATACACCAAAAACAACCTCCTTAAAACATAAATCTCACAGGCCCTGTAAACAATAACACAATGAAAAAAGGGTATTTAGGCAAGAACTAACATAATAAATAGAGCAGTACCCCATATCTCAACACTAACGTGGAATGTAAATGGTCTCAGTGCTCCACTCAAAAGATACAAAATGGCAGAACGGATAAAAATACACCAATCAAGTATCTGGTGTCTTCAAGAGACTTATGTAACACATAGGAACTCATATAAACTTAAGGTAAAGGAGAGGAAAAAGATATTCCACACAAATGGAAACAAAAAGCAAGCAGGAGAAGCTATTCTTGCACAAAACACCACAAATAGACTTGAAAGTAACAACAGTTAAAAAAAAAAAAAAAAGGACAAAGAGGGACATTATATAATGATAAAAGGATTAGTCCAATAGAAAAATATCACAATCCTAAATATATACACACTTAACACAGAAGCTCCCAAATTCATAAAACAATTATGACTAGACCTAAGAAATGACATAGCAACACAGTAATACTGGGGAATTTCAATATTCCCCTGACAGCACTAGAAAGGTCAAGACAGAAAGTCAACAAAGAAAGAACGGACTTAAACTACGCCACAGAATAAAATTAACATGTATTTGTGCCTTGTTAAATGCAACAGTCAGGCCAGGTGCAGTGGCTCACACCTATAATCTCAGCACTTTGGGAGGCTGAGGTGGGCAGATCACAAGGTCAGGA